TACAAGTGTGCCTTCACTTGGCACACATTCATTAGCCAAAGGAACGCATGTGCCTCCCCTAGCACACATTTGTTATTTTTAAGATTCTTATTGGTTTCTTATGGCTTCTAATTGCTTTATATCTCTAATTTGGCTCTATCCTGACGATTGCATGTAAGTTTGGATTCGGTTTTTTTATTCTAGTGTTTTGTCCTTGTTGATGTATGTTTATGCTCTTTATAGGTTTTGTTTGAATTTTTTGCTTTAAATTGTGTTTTGGACTTTTTGATGTGCTTTATCTCTTGTTTTAATGATTATGGTTTGAGCAGATGTTGTTGGAGTCTAAATATGCATGGTTAGGCTTCTTATTCCTCTTGTCAACTTTTGGTGCTTCTAAACATTTTCAAGCTTGATTTTCGTGCTAAAATGAGTTCTGGATTTTATGTTTGGATATTTTTAAGGCAAGTTTTCTTCTTTGGTTTCATGTTTAATTACTTACAATTGCTGTGAGTTAAATTTTAGTTAGTTGTTTTATGCTTGATATTAATAATACGCTAACCCTTGCTAACTTCTTGATCTTTTTATGGACTTTCTACTATTTTTATATTCTAAATTAATGTGTTTATGAACTTTGATTTCTGGTTATTTTACTATTCTATTGCTTAGTATGCATGTTAAGGGTTTATTTTCGATAATCCTATAAGCACGTTTTAGTATTTTGTTTTGATTCTTAAAAAGAAGCATGCTTACGGTTGGTGGTAACATGTTCTCTAGTTATTCTTAGGCAAATGCTTTGATATAAATTGCTATATAAATTATCATTGTATGAGAAATTTCTAGGTACTCTCGTTTATTGTTGTATAATATGATGAGATGATAGTAGAAGTCAAGCTTCCCCACTTGTGTTGAATGGGGGTGCCTTCTACTTTTTCGTACCCTACTTCCCAATCCACTTCTTACGAGGAAAGATGGAGAGATAACTTGGCCCTTTGCAAGGTATCAAGCTGTCTCTCTCATAGCTTTGTGATGGAATTGGCTGTGTAATCCATTTTAGAGTGTCGACTTTTGGACAAAAGGTTTTATCGACACCCATAATATTAGCAATGACAACGAATAGGATATCCACTAATTTTGAATAGCTGAACTCAAACTCAGTTGTAAAATTTAATACTCATACCTTAACCAAACCCAATTAACAATATCTATTAAAATCCAATTAAACCAAACACATTTATTAAAAATTTTAAAACTCATACCTTAACCAAACCCAATTAACAATATCTATTAAAACCCAATTAACCAAACACATTTATTTAGTTAAAAATGATGTGGCCACTTACTACAATACCCAACTCTACTAGAATTCAAAAATTAAAAAAATTATCATTTTTATGTATTTTATTAGTCCAAATCTAATTAATAAATTCAGAATAATTTTATATTTAGATAATTTATAAATTGAAATAAATAATTTTTCAATTAAAAGTAATCTGAACCAATTTATAAGGTATTGTAATCTAAGTTAAACTAATCGAATAGGGGTAAAACCTGTTTACATACTACCCATTATGGTCCCTACATGATATATGGCCAAGTTTTGCAAGGCAAGTAAACAAATAATAGAATTTAATTGATTTAATGCTTGAAAAAAATCTTTGAATTATTTTTAAAAATTCAAAAAAAAATCTTTATTCTTTTATTACATTTAATCAAATTTTTATATTTTTATTTAAACTAA